CTTACAATCAGAAGTATATTATAGCTCCTGTCACTGAGATGGTTCCTGGATTTATGATTTCACTGGGACCATGAAATAACTTGTATGTATGATGTACTCTTGTTGATATTCCGCTGGAAATACGACCATTTGCTGAACCTTTCAAATCAGAAAAGAGCTCCACCATCATGAAACATGCACAGCTGGAAATCTGAGGGGTAGCCGCTTCCTCTGATCATCGGACAGAATCAAGTCGTTGCGTGCATCAAGGTGTTTGGGAGCCGCTTGTCTGATTGAAATCCGTTTTCTCCTGTTTGTTAACAGAAGCAACAGAAACACTAAGTTGCCATCACCTTTCTGCTCCCGAGCACTTCCTCACAAGAGCCTGCATTTTAAACACGCCAACGAGAGCGGTTATATTTATGCCGAAGCTACAGGTCAGCGAGAAGAAATGCAGATTTACAGAAACGCTCTTTCATTTTAAATAAACACCCAGATGATAGCGGCGGGTTTGACACTTAAGCTGGCTAACACCTACGCAGCCTGACCCCAGCTCAAGTGTTTCTCTCTCTCTTTTCTCTGCTCAGAAAAACGGAGCGAGAGAGAGAGAGAGAGAGAGAGAGAGAGATAGAAAGAGAGAGAGAAGCATTTAACCTCAGAGGGTCAGACCAAAAAATTCAGTAGAAATTCTCTGTGATCAATACGTCCAAGAAATACATGCACCCACGCAGCGCTGTCACGAACACACAAATACACTCAAGATCCTAAACACTTCAGCGAGCACACGCACACTCTCTCACACACACATACACACACAAACACACACACACTGTGGAAGATCTGGCCTCAGCTGTGCTCCACTCTCAAGCGCAGCACTAACTGACGGCTAATCGATTAGTGCTTGGTGACCTCTGACCCCGCTAGCTTCCTGTCTGACAGATTACACCTCCGCAGTTTCATAGGACTGCAATCCACTGCCTGTGTGTGTTTGTTTGTGTGTTTGTGTGTGTGCTTTCGGCTGCGTTTTTGCTTTCCATAAAACAATAGAAAGCAACTGTAACAAATCTCGCTAAAACCTCGCGTTCGCACTCGAACGTTGTATCGCTATCCGTGTGTAACTGTGTGTGCGAGTGTGTGTGTTTTTTTTTACAATACAATTTAAAAAGTGTTTGTTGTTGTTTGGGCGTGTGCTGCGTGTTACCCTGGAGACACAGACGGTGTGCAGATCAGGCAGCTCAGTCGGTAGTGATGCATTTGTGTATGTGTGTGTGAGAGAAGGTGTGTGTGTGTGTGTAAGTGTGTGTTGGGAGGTAGATAACAATGCCCCTCACGGCAGGACACTGGTGCTCTCTTCCTGGCCTGCTCGGCACGGGAAACACCGCCCTAATACACACACACAAAGACACACACATGTATAGATATTTATACCTGTGTGGGTTACAATGACTTCACCAGCTCGCCCCGCACAGTCCCAACAAAGGAAACAAGACCTCATGGTGGACTACACACACACACACACACACAGAGGAGTGTCGTGCTTGCAGACTCAGCCGTCCGTTAGATCAGACAAGGTTAGCATTTTTTATTCCGACACGGCTATTAATAATGAAATGATGCATGGCTGGCACATTTAAACTCTCCTCTTGTCTTCTCCTCTCTTCCTTTCCTTCCTTCCTTTCCTTTCCTTTCTCCTCCTCCTCTTTACCCTCTCCTCTAAATTCCTTTTTACAGTTACACAAGCTCTCATACAGTAAGTAAACACGCTCTCACTCGGCCTCCCAAAACACCTCAACCGCCGGTCCACTTTGCGGCGAGGGGAAAATTCTCGCTGCCTTCGGTGAGTGTGCGTTTATGTGTGTGTTCATGTGTGTGTAGAGTCTTAAGGGAGTTTCCAGATGAACTAAATTTGTTTGCTTTTTAATGACAGAGCTTAAGATATTCACACACACACACATGCACACACACCACCAAGAGTGAAAGAGCCACTTTGTGCTTCATACTTGTGTGTGTGAGACTAATGGCTGTCCAGTAATGGGTGTATGGTAAGAGGGATCTCTGTGTGTAGGTACCCAGAGGCTCCTAACCACAGTCTAATCGCACAGTAGGAGGTTATCCACATACCACACACACACACATACACGCACACATGCGGGTTGTCCAGGTAGATTTGTTCGACAGCCAATGAAGAAGTCATCCAGTTCAGCTCTCGGTTACATAATCTTTCGATAAGTTTGCGGATCAATCAGGAGAGTCATTTCCTCAGTCAGTCAGTCAGTCAAAGGGTTAATTAGCAGTTTGGCGTATTAGTCAGCAGACTGAATAGAAATAAATCATATAGATTCAGAATATGAGTCTAACATGTCTCTCCACTCACACTGCTGACCCTCAGGCTTGAATTTTCCCTCCACGATACGATATCCTGTAAAAATATGTGTTGCGCTTCTGGCTTGAAATGATTTCTGATACTCCGCGTTAGGTCAATAAGTCCCTGGAGTCCTGTACCATGGCTCGGGTCTAAGACCTCTGAATCACTGCCCACATATCTGATCCTTTCAGTAATTCAAACACGTCTGGTTTTTATCTACAATGCAGGTCAGAGCTCTGAAATAAAGAAGGAGAAAAAAAAGACGACTAACTGAGCCAGTCGGAGATTATTAGGCAGAGGGAAAGTGCATGCCATCGTTTTGAGGAAGGGTGGCCGAGAGATGAGATTGATGTTATTTTACAAATCAGGAAAGATAACTGATGTTCAGTAGGCATGAAAAACAACTTTACTTCTGTGCAAACTAGAAACAACATAAATGTAAACCGCGAGTCAGTCAGAGATGATTGATTAGAGCAAAAAAAAAAAGGCGACCAAATAGAAAAGACATGAAGCGGGGAATCAGATGATTTTAACTCAGCATATAAGAAAGATGACAAAAGTTGAACCTCCATTTTCCCTCAAACACAAACAACACATTTACAGACATGCAAGCAACCCCTGAATGCACTGAGGGAAATGTCAGTGTCAGCATACGAACATGCACAGTAGGGCTGCAGGATTTTGTCCAAAAATAAATATAATCCCGATTTTTTTCTCTGAAAACTCAATTTTCGATTTCGATTTTTTTATTCAGTGACAACTTCACCAAACTTCACTTTATTAATAAAAGGTTTTTCATCATCTCCCAAAACAAAACCACTGAAAACCATGTAGTACATATGTCAAGCCAGTAGGTGGCGCTGTAACACAGCACAGGAAATGAACAAAAGACAGAAGAAGATGCATGCTTATAAATGTTCTTTTAGCTGGACACGCGCAAGACCATAATGATCGTTTCGAGAGAGGCAGATAGGCATCCACACAGAATGGAAATGGTAGTCGTTTACGTTTTCAAAAAGTACCATTTACAGTCACCTGAAACGCTGTTTCCGTGTGGATGAAACGCTGATACGACAAAAAACTTTTACGTTTACTCTTTAATCCGTTTCCGTGTGGACAGAATTTGCAGCGGGGAGTGGTTTGCTCTTCATCCGAATCTGCGAAGCCGTACCAATTCTACCTGACTGACTTGCTCTTGTTCTATTTAACCACGAAATTATCGCCTTCTTTTACAAACTCCATGTTTGCTTACACTGGTGTGAGCGGGAACTGGGAAGGGGGAGCCTACAGTGGCCTGGAGGCACGAGACATGATAGTCAATTTGAGGATTTTAATTTTTTTAACATCATCATGATCAAATAATCCAATTACAAATTAAAATCGATTAATCCTGCATAGTGCTCATTCAGCTTGTTTTGGCAGGTAAAAAAATGATTAAACAGTAAACACAAAAATCAACTTACAGGAGTGTTTTGTTTCTTTTTTAACCGATCTCCATGTCAAAAATTACTCTGGTGAAGTCGGTCACCAAAGTCACAAAGCTTCATCAATAACTCAACAAAAATAGAAAGCGATTAATTTTATGGATGTTATTTTTGATCCAAATATGTATCTTCATAGGATTTGGTTGTAAATTAACTGACCGATTACAAAAACTTGCTCTGATTGCTTTTTGTATTTCTTACCTTGAGTGTCACAAATCGACGTCATTCATTGTTTTGTTTTTTTATGGGTGCATTATCGTCTAAATTGGATTTAACAAACGTGACACTTCTGCTGTATTATTCCAGTTATTCTGAGTATTTATTTTATTTTCACTTACATGTTCAACAGAAGTCACTGAAGTTTTCATCCTCGCAGTAAAGAGGCATCACAACATCTCAGGCAGGAGCAGATGGGGGAAATGTGTGTGTGAGATTGTGAGGCCATCATGTCTGTGTTTGTAGCTTTTAGGGTAACGTGATCCCTGCCTGAGGGTGTGTGTGTGTGTGTGTATGTGTGTGCGTAGAGTGGGAGACAGGAGAAGGAAAGGCAGGATGAGAGAGGTGAAAGAGGAGGAAAGGGGGGAGGATAGAGAGAGGAAAAGGGTGTGAGTGGGGTGAATTACACATCTGCGTGGACTCCAGTCACTCTGGCCTGTGGCGGTTCAGTTCTCGTACTAAAATTAACCCCAAACCCCCGAAACACAAAGACACAGAGAGGGACGGAGAAACGGAAAACAGAGGGGGACAATTTATTCACGCTTAGATCTGGATCAAATTCTTTGACAAAAAACTGACTAAAAAGAAAAACACGGAAAAATAACACACTCGTTTTTTTGAGTATTTTTAGTTTGACGTCTTTGCATTTAATACCTGAGTCGAGGACCTGTGCACCTCAGCACTATATACATATTGCACTGCTAGCACTACTGCATTTATTGTACTTTTTAAACTGGTTTTATACTGGTGTTTATACTGGTTTTAACTGATTTACTCTACTTGGCTGGTCTGCAGAGGTGCAATTGTTGTTGTTGTTGTTGTCTTTGTCTTTGTTAGTGTACTGTGTAATAGTCTGTAAGTGGCACAACCCCTAAATTTCCCGACTGGGATTAATAAAGTATTTATCTATCTGTCTATCTATCTATCTATCTTGAATGTTGAAGAAAAGATGATGTATGGTGGCCCTGAGTTGCAAAACACAACAACAAATCAGAAAACAAAACACAAAATAAGAAAACAACAACATTAACCATTGTATTTTCTCTTTTTCTGTTGTGTTTTCTTATGTGTCGTGTTTTCTTATTTGCTGTTTTGTTTTGCACCTCTGGGCCACCGTAATATTGACAATAATGATACTTTTTTTAAACATAAGCAGCAAAAAAAGGCAAAAAGATTTGAGACAAAAGCATTTTATTCTCAATTACCTCAACATAACCTTCTGCTCTGACCCTCTACATCCCTCGCCAGGTAGTTTTTCAAAAGAGTTACTGGATAAAAAATTGTGTGTGTAAGTGTGTGTGTATATATGTGAGTGTGTGTGTGTCTATTTAAACAGCAGTTAAACTAAATCGGCAAATAATGTGAATACTGAGCTTTTAAACGCTCGGACAGGTGCAGACTGAGGGACTAAATGAGAGAAATGAATAAAACATACTTCTGTCTCTCTCTCTCTCTCTCTCTCTCTCTCTCTCTCTCTCTCTCTCTCTCTCTCTCTCTCTCTCTCTCTCTCTCTCTCTCTCTCTCTCACACACACACACACACACATTTATACACACCACAAGTAACACAGTGAGAGAAGCGAACGCTGACATTAAGTCGATAGTATAAATAATTCCCAAGAGCACATCTCCAAGCAACTGCTGACCTTTAGCACAGGAAGTGAAACTGAAACATAAGAGACAGAGAGCGAGAAAGAGAGAGAGATAGAGGGGAAAAGAGAGGAATGAAGAAGGTATAGAAATTATTCTCTCTCTATATATGTGTGTATAATACAAAGAGTATAAACTTAATTGGGTTTATATCATGGCTCAAAAACCTGAATGTATTTTATTGTCTACAGTCATGAAGTTTGCGATCAAATTTAACAGGACAAACACCAAAAATACACAATAGCTGCGTTTACATGGGCACAAATAATCGAAATAAAGGCGCGATCGGAATAAAAATACGTAATGTAAATATGTCGATCGGAAGACTCTGATCCAAATCAGCTAAACCAGGAAAAAAATTATTCCGATCGAGGGGTGCAGAACTGAAGCTCTTGTGCTCTTTCAAAAGAAAAAGCTGTATTGTTCTCGGTATATCCGGGATTTTCTCCACCACTTGTGTAGTAGTGTTGTGACACTCAGCTCAAACATTGTATCCCCTGGGTGAGCTACGTAATCTTCGTACATCCATAGGCTGTATCAGGTGTCTATCATAGAAAACATGAACCCACTAACAACTTTAAAAAATGAAGCTGCACAGAAAAAAGAGGACTTGAACATAAAACAGTCTTACAGTAACTACATACTACAAATATATAAATAGATCATGTCTAAAGTTTGTCCACAGCTCCATAAACTTTGCTGAAGGAGGCGGGATTTATGACCTATACTGCAGCCCGTCACCAGAGGGTGCTGTTCTTCAGGTGGCTTCACCCAGTGAAGAGGCAGACGCTGTCCATTCTATATACAGTCTATGTATCAAAGCACTTTGTAAACATCGGTTTTTAAAAGTGCAAATACAAATACACAGAAATGTTAGAGGAACGCGTGCCCAAACGGACAATTACGACACCAGACCATCGAAAAACCTGTTGGTTTGACACTGATATGAGGAGACTACAAACTAGAGACCCACAAAATCTTAAATAAAAGGGCCTACAGTCTCCGCTCCCAGGACTTTTATTATTTTACTGAACCTAAGATCAAAACAGAAACGGGAAGAAAGCTTTTAGATGTTCTAGAACATCTTGCAATCAGACCTGAAACTCCACAGTCTGGTATCTCTGAGTGTTTTCAAATCCATGATAAAGTCATCCAGGCTTCAGGAGTGCAAATGTTTTATCTTGAATGCAAATGTTTGACCAATCTTGTAAATTCTCTGAACTAATTTTGAAATTAAATTATAATTTGTATTCTTTGTATTCTATATGATTAATGTGGTTATGTATTGAAACTATATGTGCTGCCATTCTTGGCCAGGTCACCAGGACAAACCTGGTTAAATAAATGTTATAATAATAATAATACTACAAAAGCTTCACCTATAAGATTACGACATTTGAATGCATCCAAAAATGCGGATGTTGTATTCGAGAACTGGCACCTTCTGCCCTTTTGGTACGTCTAACTTCCAATCCACTCTATGCTCAAAAAACTGCACAAAATATCATCTAATGTCACCTTGAGAGTGACAAAGCTGCAGAGATATTTCTGGTCAGGATGGACAGTTTCATAAAAAAAACTTCACTCTAGGCTAATATCAGGTAAAAACCTACTGACAAATAAACAAATTCACCTGTTGAAATGCAGTTTAGGTTCTTAGAAACAGTCAAATAAGCTGCTCTGTTTCAACACGATACCCTCTGATTTTTAAAGATCCCAGGATAGTTTACATGAGGAACAAACTGAGGAGTGTTGTTTTCCGTGTTCGTGTGCGAACACTTTGTCATCTTCGTACTTGAATTTATCATCCCGGGGTTGAAAAAGGATTCCTTATTTAAAGTGGAAAAAAAGGACGAGTGTCGCTGAAGGAAAAGAGGACAGAGAAGGAGAAAAGAGACGAGGACGGGTCATGAGAGGAGACGGCAGATTATCTCACCATCTATTTTAGATAAGTGAGTGAGAGAAAGAGTGTGTGTGTGTGTGTGTGTGTGTGTGCGTCAGACGGTGACAGTTGAGCGAACAGTGACAGACCAGGTTGGCAGAGATATTTTGGTAAGTAGGACAAGAGAGAGAGAGGGAGAGAGAGAGGAAGACAAAGGCAGAGAGATGAAGAGATCGTTTAGAAGATCCCCCTAGCTTCCTTCATCGCCTTTCTCCTCTCCCTCCTCCCTTTCCTCCTCCTTTTCCTCCTGATTGACAGCGCCCCCTCCTCCCCCACCCGGCGCTCTTTGATTGACAGGACTCCCCAGACTGAAGCTCTTATCCCCTGAAACAAACCCTCCCTCTGCTCCTCCTCACCTCCTTTCTCTCCCCCTGTCTGCCTGGAGAAGCCTTCCCTCTCTCCTCCTTCTCCTCTCTTCCTTTCCTTCCTTCACTCCGTGTTCACCTCTTTCTAACGCTTCTCCACTCTTTCCTCTCTTCCTCAGGCAGTGACCCCTCTTAACCTTGTACCTTTCACACACACACAGGCACACACACATTTGGGGAACCCCTTAAACCCCTTTAGGCTTATTTGGGCCCCTTTCGACCAGGAGAGGACACACACACACGGGTACTCATAACCCCCCCTTACACACACACACACACACAATATCACACACTCTCAAACTGTCTTGACACTGATCTAAGCTTTGCGCACACACACGCAGACACACACACACCCTCACAGACTGAGCCTATTAAGCCAATCGTTGCAGTCTAAACAGGCAGCGAAGTGAGCAGTGAGGTAGGTAACCCCTCAGGGCCACGGAGAGTAAAACAAAGTAGGAGAAGAAAAAAGGAAAGGGGGGAGAGAGGGTGAGAGTAGGGGAGTAAGAGAGTTGGGGGGGGGGGTGAAATGTGGGAGAAAAATAACAGAAAGGAAGAAGACGAGGATGTTAAGTGATTGAGAAAAGACAAGATACGAGAAGGAGAAACTGAACGGCAGCCACACACACACACACGCGCACACACACACACACACACACATAAAAAAGGAGGAGAGTGGATGTGGCTCTTTAGGAGTCAAGCAGGCGTATGATGGGATATCGTTGCATGTCGTTAACCCTATATTAACCCTAGAAGGTGGCGGGACACTCACTGTGCTACAACAGGGATTAACTGGGCCACACACACACTCGTGCATTGATACAGATACACACACACGCACACATGCAGGCAGGCAGCTGGCTGTCAATCCTACACGTACACACACAAGCGTTGATATCTGCACCGACACGATGCAATGAGCTGTCAATCACACACAGGGACTATTTTCTGCTCTTTCGCTTGTTTGTGCGGACGGATAAATGTAGTAGCCTGAAGGATGTTTGAACGTGTTTCAGTGCAGTAAACACTTTTATAACGTGTTTTTATTCAAGATGATCTTGTTGTCTTAATTTCATGTCTTTTGTGAGAAACAACAATAACTGTTTTACTGTTTTAATTGCTCCACTGTTTCTATTAGGGCTGGACGATAAACCGAAAATTAAACGATACTTAAATTTACGACAATAACCGACGTCATTTTGCCCATGTCAGTATATTCAGTGTCAGATAAATAAGTGAATAAAAGTTGGTTTTGGATGTGTGTAGGTAGGCTATGGTCTCATGTCCCTTTAAGACACTGTCCTACGTCAGAGACTCCACTCCATTCAGGAGGAAAAGACAGGTGAGGAGATGGAGGACGGTTCAAAAGTTGTAGCGGCTGAAGTAGACGAAGTTAATGTGGGAGGGGGCGAGCAGCTTGTGGAGTAGTTATCATCCATTCATCGTTATCGAGGTGAACTGATCAATATATTGTGACATTGATTCGAGGACATATTGCCCAGCCCTAGTTTCTATAGCCATTATTTTAACTTCTAATGAGGAATGTCAGTAAGAGTATGGAGATGTCTTAGAAATGTGTTCCCCTCATGTTATAACAGTTAACTGTAGGGGTGTCATGATTCATCTACAACATTGATGTATCGATTTATATTCCTATGATCCAACTACATCGATCTGTGCTCGGCAAGTTGACCTTCCAGACGACATATATCGATCTAAAATCATTTTAAAATGTAATGAATTGATCGTATCGAAGAGTCATCATATTAGTTTCTGTTTCTTCCCCAGTTAAAAACTCCTTATAGTGCCCAACAAGAACATCGAATTATATTTTATTGCTTTAAAGGGTCTTTGGATATGGTCAATAAATGTGATACCTTCATTTGTTTTGTTTTTTACTTAGGATTCTAGTTTTGAATCCTCAGGATGCCCTAAACTTGTTGCGTCCTGTCATTTTTGTGTCTGCAGCTGTCAAGGCTGTCAATAACAGCTGGTGACGCAAAGAGGAAATCCTCACCATGGACCAAAACCGTCTTCTCCAACAACACCTGCGGTCAAAGACAAAGACGTGACCTTCAGAGGACTGAGCCGCTGCTTCTGTCCAGATGCTTTGAAGAGAATCTAACCAGAGTAGGGCTGGGCGATATGTCCTCAAATCAATA